ATAAAAATATAATAATTCTAAATGTTCCTTATTATCTTAATTTATCTGAATTAATTAAAATAAAAATTAATTAATTATAAATGTTTCTTAACTGTATTAATTATTATAAATTATTATTACTTAATTATAAATGTTCCTTATTATCTGAATTTATCTGTATTAATTATTATAAAAATTAATTAATTATAAATGTTCCTTAACTGTATTAATTATTATAAAAATAAATTAATTATAAATGTATGGAATTGTAACAAAAAAATACTAAAATAGCGCCCCATACGATTTTCAAAACATTTTGTTTGAGATTGTAACAAAAAAACTTGTAACTTGAAGAGGTCGTCTAGTGTATACTTTCCATACAAATTTACCGTAACATCCGTGAGCATGCGTTTCGCGAGTTCCTTCTTGAAATGCTCTTTGTCCCATAGAATTGGGAACGCTTTGGAGGCTTCGGTCTTCCTGCTCAACTTCTCTTTCTGGCTCTTTGGCGGCCTGCGACTGGTTGCGTTTCGACACTTCGATATGTCTGCTTATGTTTTTCATCATGGAAATGACTTTAGGTAAGCGACACGACACGGAACAATTCTCACCCCCTGAACAGCATTAATTCTGATTTTCATTGCAGCCATCATCTGTTTTGTGTTTACGCAGTACATGAATTCGTTGTTGGACGAAACTGATACACGAGGATCGTCTTCAACGATAGCATTTCGTGGAAACACGAAAGGAGTAATTAAAGCTTGTTCTGAATATGAAAATATGTTCTTTTTTTATAATCTTAGCGCCTAGTTAAGTTTAGGAGCATGTTCATAGCGGCATCTGCATGTGGGCCTGCTCCTGCATGGGAAAGACGATACTCGTCTAATATTGTTACAAACTTTTCATTTCGAAAATATGTGAGGCACGATACCAAATTGACTTTTCCGATTTTCACATCTGCTATGTGACTCGGGTTTTTGAGGTACTGGATCGTGTTTTTCAGATCGTTAGCTTTAAATTCCACTTGATTAAATGATTTGAAGAGGTAAAACATGGGACAACCGGGGTGGCGGTTTGTGTATTGGTTCGGCTTCTTCGGATATGCTAGTTTCTTCATCCGGCCAGGCTTTGCCGGTCGCACAGGGCCCACAGCTTGTTCCTGGTACTGGGCTGACGCCTTGTAGGCGCTAAAGCAGACAAATACACCTGCGGCATCTGCATGTGGGCCAGCTCCTGCATGTGGGCCTGCATTGGGTGCCTGGTGCTCCATATTAATGGCAATGTGATGCCGCCGTAGCCGCCTCAATAGTGAGCGGCCCTCATCCGCAATGACACCCACTATTGGTTTTATTTGAATATGAATATTTATTAACTTATTTTATTTGAATATGAATATTTATTGACTTAATGTCTAGTTAGATTTAGGGGCTCTGCCTGGTGAATTGGCATAGCCTGCTGTTGGTGGGGCGCTGCCTGGTGAACTGGCATAGCCTGCTGTTGGTGGGGCGCTGCCTGGTGAGCTGGCATAGCCTGCTGTTGGTGGGGCGCTGCCTGGTGAACTGGCAGGTTGAAGTGGGCACTGAAATGATAGGCGCCGGTCAAATACAATTCGCCATCGATATGGTGTACGAAAAAATAAAGAGCCTCGGCTATAAAGAGAAATTAGTGGGTATTGTGGCCGATGGCCGGGCATACCTTTAATATGGGATACCCGGCATCGTCGCTCCATAATGGCAAAACATCCAAAAGGATAAATTGTATATCGACAGCCTAAGGGCGGCTGTAGAAAAAGCGCTTAAGTATTCACAGAAACCCTTTAAATTGGATAGCTTTAGCAACGACAAGCTAGAATACTTGGGGTCAAAAGCTTGCAATGAATATAAAAATTTAGTAAGCCATGCACTGCTGCTCCCAAGTTTAAATGACTCTATTCGCAAAGACAAATGCAGTTTCATTGCAAAAATGTTTGCTACGATCCTTCTGATCCTGACTTCGCGCTACGACGGAGTCCATCGCTAATGGCAATATTTAAACATAACCAATAAACCATAACTTGCTTTTAAATTTTTTATTTTCTTTTATTAGGGTTGCAATTTAATATATACGTTTCGCTGAACTCAACTCCAGCTGATTTGGCCATCTTGGTTACATTACACTAGTCAACACGATTTTTCCTCAAGGAACAAAACGAACTTTTTCTTAAAGATTTGGGGCTTAGAAATGGTTTGATGATATTTTTTTTTTTTAAAGAATTTTTGAAAACTGGTATTTTTTTTTAAAGCTTTTTTCAGAGGTAACGCTTGTTTTTTTCACATAACTCTAGTATCTTACGTCTGGTTGTAAAGAACTTTGCTATTTTGAAAAGATAATTGACGCAGCTAGAAGTTGATGCCAAACACTTTGTGATTTCAGCTTACCGTCTGGGAAATATAAAGCATTGAAATGCAAAAATGATGATTTTTGTGGGGTATTTTTTACGAAATTTTGACTTTAAAAACTCAGGAAAAGTCGAAAAAAAATTATATCTTGTGTTATCTATTTTTTTGTGTATAGGTGCGTTAATTTGGCGTCGTTTAAGGTATCGCTCATTAAAATCTATGGAGAGACTTTGGAGCTAAAATTCGTTAACCAAACCTAAAAAATGGAAAAAATGAACAAAAAATACCTTTTTGAAGGCGGCGGGCCCAACTGCCAATTGGGAACAAAGCAAACGAGCAAGGGTTGTACATTTGGTACCTGATCGCGTTCCGACGCCAAATTAACGCACCTATACACAAAAAAATAGAGGACACAAGATATAATTTTTTTTCGACTTTTCCTGAGTTTTTAAAGTCAAAATTTCGTTAAAAATACCCCACAAAAAACATCATTTTTGCATTTCAATGCTTTATATTTCCCAGACGGTAAGCTGAAATCACAAAGTATTTGGGCTCAACTTCTAGCTGTTTTGATTAACTTTTCAAAATAGCAAAGTTCTGTACAACCAGACGTAAGATATTAAAGTTATGTGAAAAAAACTATCGCTACCTCTGAAAAAGCTTAAAAAAAAAATACCAGACTTCAAAAATTCTTCAAAAAAAAGTTCTGCCATAGAAAAAAAACCATAATTCTTTAAAAAATTTTAAAGCCCCATATCTATCAGAAAAAGTCGGTTTGGATCCTTGAGGAAAAAAAAAGTTCGGGTTTGTCGAGTAGTGTTATTGGCACAGGTAGTGAGCATTCTCTGCCAGTACCAGCTTTGCTCTTTTGGAAAGAAAGCCAATATACTTTTTATCAGTGTTTTCCTATTTGCTGCACTTAATTTCAGGTTTTTCTTCACATAATATTGGCCAATTGTTTTAACAATTTGTGATCGATGACTTTTATTAAGAACGTTTCTGTTTTTTGTTACTTCAAGAATGTTTTCAGTTATTGGATACGATTTTAATATTCCAATCAAATCGTCGACTTTTGTATTAGTCTCAACTTCTTCATTTACAGAAGAGATTTCTGAAAAAGTTTTTAACATACGTCGGTCATTTTGTACAATTATTCCAACACCGTGACTGTCTGAAGTGATTGTTCTTGTCGTTTCATGGTGAAACCTGAGGTGGTGCCGATTCAACGAACATATATTTTTCATATATTTTGATCCACATTTCGTGCAAGTTGCCGTGCCCACTTCTTCATTAAAAACGAAATAATCTCATATGGGATGAAAAGGACTCGGCTTTCTCATAAAACTGACTTCGTTTGTCTCATTTGTAGGCTCAACGAACGTCGAGTCCTTACATGCAACGCGCTTATGACGTAACAACGGTTGTGTTTTTCTACCGAACTTGAGGCATGTTACCGTATCGTCTTGCGCGTTATATTCGAAATAATCTCATATGAAATGCGACGGGGATGTTTTTTCGAAGAGCTTCGGCTTCTTGCAAGCAGGTTCATTGTTGTTGCTGTCGCACAGCACACGCTGCAAAGGTACATTGGGGTTGGTCCTGCTTGGGGGCATGCTGGGGGGGGCCTGCTGCTGGTAATGGTAGGGGTAGGCCATTACAATTACGTTGTGCCGGCACAGGCGCGGCCGTCGTCCGCCATGCCGCCCATTTCGCCATGGTGGGCGGCCATCATCATTGCGAAGGCTCGATCACAAATGGCTGTTCGGCGCTCTTGCCTCTCCCTCAACGTTGTCGTACCGCCACGTGTACGGCCACCGCCAGGGCCACCAAAGTGGAAATGTTGGTGTAACGACATCTGGAAAGGAAAGGAAATGAAAAAGGATATATTATACATATAGAGAATAAATTATATTTAAAACTTACGACTTATCTTTTTTGCAGAAACGTGTTTTTTTTTGCTCCGTACCGTACCAGCTCCGATCAAAAAATGCGATCAGCCGCGGAAAAATCTAGAAGACGCCGCGTTGTCGACGCCACGTGGTCGGGCGTTCAGTTGAGTTGAGCTGAGCTAAATGAGCGGCGGCTCAATTATTGAGCACAAAATAAATATATATATTTTATTTTTAAATTGACCTGCCAAGCTACATATCATATATTGTTGGATTACATTTCATTTTATTTTCATTTATTTATATTTTCTAGAGCGAACAAACTTTAAAGTAAATTTAAAATTACCCGCAAAGTCAGCCATTTATGTGCTCTCATTTTGAGCATTTTGCGTCCATCCTTTTTCTACCGAGTTGGCATCATCTCATCTGCTATCTGGTCACACTCATTTTTCTGCAAACCGGCGCCGGTTTTTGTTTAGTTTAGTTTACTTTTCCAGAAGAGAAGATGGCCGGTGACCAGAACAACCCAAAGCCGACAGCCCTCCTCTACCTCCATGGGACGAGCGTCCATGGAACAAAGACCTGCCCGTTACATTTAGAAGATGGGTTGAAGTGTATGGCCATGCTTCTTCAAGCTCTTCCACTTCTTCAAGTTCCAGCGAGGTAAAGTAAAGTAAATATATCAACATATATTTTATATTTTCATTTATTTATATATTCTAGAGCGAACCAGAATCCGGATTCGCAAGATGCGCAAGATGCCGAAGAACTATGCTGAAAAAATCCTTAGCAAGCCACAGAAAATTGTACTGTGAATTTGGACCAAAGATAAAAAACTTCACATGCTTGTACTGTCCATATAAGAGCGCTCAGCGCTCTCTTATCAGAAGGCATCTCAGGTGAGTCCATGAATGCCACGACGAGGAGCCTGTCGTAATCTCTGGTTCGGACTCGGAATCCAGCTACAGCTCCGACAGCAGCGACGACGAAGTTTGTAAGTACGAACCGAACATTGTTCGAACAATGTTTTACTGATTCATTTTTCTATAGATCAAGATATCAAACTTATTGGGCGCCGTATCAATGTCGCTGGAGCCCCCAAAATGCCACTGCCTGGCTATCATCTGTTCTTGATGGAAAAACACAACGAACTGAAACGCGAGCCTGGCTGGCTGCACCGTACGGGCCTGGAGCACAATCAAATTTTTGCTGAGGAATGGCAGCAGCTTTCGAAGGAGCGCAACGTTCCGTACATGGAAGCAGCAGCCAAGGGCAGAGCTGTGTAAGTTAAGTGACGAACCTTTTACAGTGCAAAAATTATTCTGTTCCCTTTCCTACTAATAGATACAAAAAGAAGATGTTCCGATTCTTCAAGAACCACCCAAAAGTTTTGGATAAAGAGTTGGCAAAGTTGAAGAAAGATACCAAAGAAAAGGCCACAGCAGCTAAGAGGCCAACCGATCACGCTCCCGACCCAGATGATGTTCCACTATCCCAGGTTATCCGCTTGGATAGCAGCTCTGCTGCTGGCAAAAATAAGGAGCCAGTCGCGTCTACAAGCAAAAGTCTACGTCTGTCCACTGAGAGTGTTCCCCTGCCTCTCAATACGCGCCGCACGCCGTCCCGCGCCCTGGACGCCATGGACTACGAAAGCGAAATAAAAATTCAAACAAATCTTTTCGCGTCTGGCCAAGTCGATCATCAAGGGAAATGCTTCGAACAGCGAGACGCTGCTGGAAGAGTGCTTCAAGGAGGAGATACAGGAGGACTCGATTGAAATGAAATGTTTTCGTGTGTACGTGGAGGAACGCCTTGCCTTCAGCTTGTCGACAAGCGTCCGTACGAGAATTACGAGAAATATTTCTGCACGTTTGGTGCAGAGTAAATAGCATTTCGTGCATACACGACAGGAGTTTGTTCTAAGCTTGTTCTGTTCTAAGAATATTCCTAATTATTCCTAATAAGTGCATTAAAATGTAATAAAAATAGCTATGCTATGTAAAATTAATTGAATTATGTAAATTTCAGGCCATAGCGACGATGCAAAAGTTTCATTTGACTTTCGACCAAATAAATACAACAATACAAATACAATCCTATTGTATTTTTGCTTTTAATTTAAAGTATAATATAATATAATTTCCTTCAGTTGACCTATACCAAAAACGGGGAAATATCATACAAAAACATATTTATTTATTTCAGCACTGAACAAATTTAACGGTTTTCGACTTGGGCGCGTCTCCTCCAATACAAAGACGGTGCACATCGATGTCTTCGTGGGTAGCTGCTCGTTTTGGCTATACGTGTAAGAACGTTACAGTTAAGTTTTTGGACATAAGCAATAAGAACAGCGGGCAAAACAATAGCGAGCATATGATTAGGGCAACTATTATATGAATGAATATTGACCTAAAACTAAGCGACTAATTTCTCAACAGCACATATATTGTTAGATTACATTTCAAAGTTTAGCAAAACACACAACAGCAGCATAAATTTCAGAAACCACTTTAATTTAAATTAAATTTAAAATCACCCGCAAAGTCAGCCATTTATGTGCTCTCATTCTGCGTCCATCCATTTTCCACCGAGCTGGCAGCACCGGGCGGTACCGACAGCGTCAGCTGTGTTTTTCAAAAAAACTGTTACAACAAGTAGGCTAAACCACTAAAAAAATGAGAGGTTAAATTGAAGCCGGACATTTTTTCGGTTAATTTAACGCTTGAAATGGAGTTGCAGATGGATTCAAAAATCAATATTTTTCCTTCCCACAGCTGTTTGAAGCAGTGTGACCCTCAGAAATATACCAAAATATACCGTAATTAGCCCAGCACAAGATGACGCTCCATTCGTTGCGCCCAGCGTATATACGAGGATATCCGGAACAAGGTTCCTCGGCCAGTGACATTTGGGCCAAGCAGGAGATCTTGCATTGCATCCAGATCGAGGCAGCATCGGTATTTTTTTTGCGCTAAATCGCATCCGTTGAGTGTGACCCTTCTTTATGACATATTTTCGCTAGCTAACAGGTGATATTTTTTTATTTTTAATACGATATTATCGGTTCGATATTTTTGTCGCCGACTATATCAAGAATCGATGTTTCTCCACCTCTATATACAGAGCAGGTGGTGTTGTCTCTCTCAGGCTTGCACGCTCGCTCTTGATGTGCGAGCGAAACAACAACAAACAAGTTACAAGGTGTGTGTTGGTGTTGTAAATACAGTTGTTGTTGTTGTTGTTGTACGCTGGTGGATGTTCAGCGCCTTTTTTTGTTCGTGTGTTGATTATTTTACTTGCGTGCGTTTTCTTCTAGTGGGCGGCTGTGGAAAATATTGGGGAAAAGCGAAAAGTGAAATATAAACTAATAGCCCAACAAACCACAAGTGCCCCGGCCAGCTCGTTAAGGCTGGTTAAAGTTCTGCTCAAGTGTCAAATTGGGTAAAGAAAATCAATATTATGTTCCCTGTGCGAAAGGTGTTTTGTTAGCGCCCCAATCAGAAAACCACAAAGTACTGTGTGAAAATAGTGTAACAAAAAAAGAGTGGAAAGAATTTCAAGTTTTTGGTGAACCTCCCTCCCCCCAAACGACGCTCCCAAAAAAAGAGATATCTCTTTATATGCGTTGCTTGACCACTTTTGACCGCGCGCATTTTGCCCTCGCCCGAAACTAGTTTTTTTTTTTAATACAATTTGCCTTTTGATGACGTTTTAAAGCCATTTTTGTGTGTGTACGGTACAAGTTTAAAGCAATTTTCCCGAAAAAATCAATAAATTCAAGCTTCGGGTATACACACATTTTCCGTTTGGAGAAATTTAACATGCTTTAAGCGAGAAAAACGGACGTGGGAAACCACCCTCGCACTCCAGCCGCCCCCATTGACTCCACTCGCCTCCCTCCATTGAGAGCATCTTTGGAACGAAGAAAATATATAGAGTAGAGTGCCGTGCCGCTTATATTCCTCCCCCAAAAACACCCAACGCGCCCCCTTTTGCGGCATTTTACATGTGTACATATAAATGGGTATATGTAACATCTTCTCTATATGTGTGTTGAGTGAGTGTGTGCGAATGTATCTGACTCTGTGTATTTTGTAGGCGTGCTCCGTGGAAAGTGCATTGCTCTGCCCCCGTCGCCTCTTTATTGTAAACATTACAAAAGCGGCGTGGAGAGTGTCGGCGGCCTCGTTTCATATATAAAGGTGTTTGTGTGTGTGTGTGTTTATGGGCTTTTACACCGTTAAAGTTAAAGTGCTCGCGCAGTGCGTTTTTCGGCAGTTGGCAACACGTTGACCCAATAACGGTAGAATAGAACTTCAACCGAGAAAGCCCATATGCATGAATGAAACAGAAACAGCGCCCGCATGCCGTTATTATTATTGTGAAATCTCTGCAGATGCTGCGGCGGCGACCCACATAATCCCGCTACTTATGTGCCCGTGTCTGTATGTATGTATGTATGTACGTATATGCAGATGCTGCACAGTGGAACCAAAATTATCCCCCGAATTGTAATGCAGCGTTTTTCCTGTTTTATTTTTGGTGCTGCCTTTTGTTTATATCGAGAAAGCGATTTTGTTGTTCAAGTTCAATGAACCAGCAGCCAATGGAATGCCTTCGGGTGTTAAATGTGTGTGTGTGTGCGTGCACGTTTGTTCCTTTCGAGCGTGTGTGTGAATGTTACCGAAATTTGTTGAGCGATTTTATCACCGTCAATAAATTAAATATCAATATGTGGTGGCAACGTGTGCTGATTTGTTTATGGCCATTTTGATTTACATAAATGATTCAACAAAAAAGAATTGCGTGGCTTATTAAAACTCAGCGAAATTACCTTGACATTGAGAGATTTTCATGTACAACAGCAGTGTCTCTGTGTGAATGTGGGGTTTGTGCGTGTGTCAATATTTTGCCAATGGAGCCCATGTGCCAAGGTATATTAAAGTCAGGGTATGGCATATCTGCTCTTCGGGTGTCATATTTTGCTACTCTCTCGCTCTCATTGTGAAGTTCTTGCACACCCGGGCAGGTGTGGCTGACTGCCTTACCTACTATTTTATATACCTTGCCATGTGCTATCTCCCTCAGACACTGTGGAATCTGATATAAAAAATGTAATGGGAGAAGCATGTAGTGTGAGCGAGAGAATTATATGCTCTAGTTTCGATTTTTATTCAATCTGGTGGCAGCGCAGCGGCAGAGAATCTCCTACTTTGAATCAGCTGTTTGGTGTCGTGAAAACCACATCCATACATACATGTGGATATGTATGTTTGAAGGAGTTAGTGCATAATTGAGAATGTTTGTTGCGTGTAACCTTGGAATGCGACACTGCATCAATAGCTATTATCAATAACCGGGAATAATGTGTCCTTCCTCTCTTTGCAGTTCCAACACAATTCCATCTTCATTTAATACAAAACTGGAGCTAGACTCCAGCAAAGACGACACCATTCACTCCGCAAACTTGAATAAAAAACTCGTCAAGATTAAAAAGTTCAAGCTGGACGATATGAAGGAAATGGTGGGCGGCTGTTGTGTTTGTTCGGACGAGCGGGGGTGGCCGGAGAACCCGCTCGTCTACTGTGACGGCCAAAACTGCATGGTTGCCGTGCATCAGGCATGCTATGGCATTGTGACGGTCCCCACCGGACCCTGGTATTGTCGAAAATGTGAATCCCAAGAGCCCGCTTCCCGCGTCCATTGCCATTTGTGCCCCTCAAAGGATGGGGCGCTCAAGAAAACAGATCAAAACAAATGGGCACATGTCGTGTGTGCCCTGTACATACCCGAAGTGCGATTCGGTAATGTGACCACCATGGAGCCAATACTCATGTCGCAGATACCAGAGGAGCGTTTCCACAAAGGTGAGTAGAATGGTATTCTTTAGATGTTTATATTTTATATACATTTTGGTATTTTACAGCCTGCTACATATGCATGGAGATTGGGAAGTCAGGACGTTCCACTAAGGGTGCCTGCATGCAGTGCAACAAATCAAATTGCAAGCAACAATTCCATGTCACATGCGCCCAAAGCTTGGGTCTGCTCTGCGAGGAGGCTGGCAACTATTTGGATAATGTCAAGTACTGCGGCTATTGCCAGCATCATTATAGCAAACTGGTGAGTATGTGGGGGGAATATATTTATGATCTCCACACTAATCTGATTGCAACTTTGCAGAAAAAGGGCGGCAACGTCAAAACCATACCGCCATACAAACCCATACAACATGACACCTCATCCGATTCGTGTTCGTCGCCCGAAAAGGATATTGACTCCACAATGAATGCAGCAGCTACCTCGGCAACGAGCATTAAGATAACCAGCAGCAGCAGTAGCAGTAGCGCCACCAGCAATGCCTTGAATGCCAGCACTTTGGTGGCAGTCTCTGGAGGCAGCGGCAGTGGTGTGTCCTCATCGTCCAAGCAGCGAAAGAGCAATGCATCGGGCAAGTCATCGAGTAGCAGCAGCAGCAGCTCCTCATCATCATCCACGGGAGTGGTGAATCCATCCTCCAGTACCGCTATCTCGGGCGGTGCCAGCAATCTGCCAGTCGGAGGAAGCCTACTACCATCGAGTAGTAGCACTACTAATATTAGTAATAGTACTAGCACCAGTCTGCCGGCTGGCACTGGAGCAGCAGCAGCAGCTGCTGGCGGTAGCGTGGCCGGTGGAAGTACAAGTGCAATAAATCTGCCTTCCTCTGGCAGTGGCTCTGGCTCACAGAAGGCCTCCAACGCCAGTCAGTCGACAACATCGACAGCCGCCACAACAAAATCTTCGGCCAGCAGTTCGAGCAGTAGCAGCAGCTACAAGGATAAGCATAGCAAAAGCTTGAGCAAGCAATCAAATTCAAGCAAGGAAAAGGATAGCAGCAAGGACATCGGAAACAATCCCCCTAGCAGCAGCACAATAAGCAGTTTCTCCAATTCAACAGCCACCTCAACATCTACCAGCTTTTCTTCGTCGCGAGAAAAGTCATCATCGAAATTATTGAAAAACAAGGACACGGCCATTCAAATGCCGGGTGCCACAAGCAGCAGTTCGAGTATCAGCGCATCCAACACCAGCAATACCCAGCTCAGCAACAGTTCGTCAACCTCAACAGCCGCCAATGGGTCTGGCGCTGTAAGCAGCTCTGTGACTGCCATATTTTCCGCTGCAGCTGCCAGTCACTCGAATCATGCCCAGAACCTCAGTACGAATGGAGGAGCAGCAGGCAGCAATGTAGGCACACATCTGAATGCCAGCAGCAGCAGCACGGGATTTGGTACAGAACTGCGTCCAGGCAGCAGTAGCGCTTTGAATGACTCTTCTTCGGCCTTTGCGGCAAGCAGCAGTGCAGACACTTTGCCAGGCGCTGGTTCGTCTGCAAGTAATATGTCTGCAGTCCTGGGCCAGAATTTAAGCGGAGGAGGAGGAGCAGTCTCCTCCACTGTGGCCACCAATTTGACCACAAACAAGACATCATCATCGTCTGCAGCAGCATCAACGTCGTCTTCCTCCAGCAATCCCACACAAACCACGAGTGTGGCATCCAAAAAACGAAAAGCCGATTCGGTGAAGCAGTCAAGCGGCAGCGGCCCCCCCATTATCGCCCCATCGGTTTTGGACGATAGCAATAGGTGGGCTTCGAGAACGGCAAAGAAAAGGTCTTTTATAAGTTACAATTTTTCCAAATTTCCTTTGGTAGTTTAATAAGGGCTCTCCAACGTCTTACCCAGCAGACATTGGGAAACCTGTACTTCCGATAATTATCATTTTGTAATAGTTGTAAAGGTCTCTCATTGGAGAGCAGATTTTTTTTAATTGTAGAAATTATTAATCGACTCGACTAACATCGTATCAGACCTATTTTCTTACCCTAAATCTCAATAATTTGTATATCAACTATTTATTGATTTCTGTTTTTTATAATTCAATAGTTCATTTCGTGAAATAATCAAGGATCCACACGTGACTCTGACGGCACTAACAGATTTTGAAAAGGAAATAGAAAAGAGCTCCAAGAGGGTAAGTTTTATTCCAACAAATTGTTTATCTTTAAGTATATATTTTTGTGTTCTATAAATAGGCTGATAAACAATTGAATGTATAAACCAAAGAGTATGGTAAAGATTTTTCACTCTTGAGTTATTGATTTTTGTATCTCTTGAGTGACTTTTCTGTAATACTTTTCCGATCTCTCTCTGGCTACAATGTTGTATTTTGAATGATGTTTTACACTTGTCTAGAGCATGTCATGTCCATATTGTTTGCCAGAGAGAATACACTATAATATTAGTTATAGAAAATATCTATATATTCGTTTCACTTGCCAAAAGTTTAGGGCGCAGGCGCTTTTTACCGCTCTCGTATCATATTTATAGGTAGAAGAACAAAAAAAAAAATGCAATTATTCTGTAAATGAATTTCTATCGAAAGCGCAAGGTGTGCGTGGAATTATACTAAAGTGGGAACTCAAAGGAATTCCTTGTTTTTCCATATTACCCTTTAAAGTATTTTGTGGAGGGATATAGACTTTGGGATTGGGAGAATTTTTCGTTCCTAAACGATTACTGAAATTATTGTATTAATCATATCTGAAGATGAATGAACTATTTTTGATTTTTATCTCGAGCGGTTCGGCTCCAAGGGTCACGAGTACTGCACCATATCATTATCGTTACTACTCCGATCCTTCCTTGATCGTAGGCGCACATAAAGAATGCATTAAAGAACTATCTTCTAGGGTACCTTACAGTCTCATAGTCTCTCTTTTTCACGCTTGTCTATTTCCATTTTCCCCGATTTGATTGATGTACACTCGACATTACCCCCATGCCCCATTAATTTTCTGTTTGAATCACAAAAATGCATGGCAAAAATACCATTGAATTGAAATTTAATTAAATGCAAATGTACATGTTAATTTATTGATCGACATCGACTTTGAATCAGACAACAGCACCTACCATATTGTTGATTCAACGGAAAGTATAACAGAAATACATACCTTCATATGTATATCTCTTTTTGCCTTGTCATGAGAAGAGCCTCCACCTGGAAAAATTCTGAATAAAATTCAGAAAGAAAATGTTTCATAGATGAAATTTATTGGAATAATATGTATATATACTTTGGTGATTTGTTGGGTTTGTTGGCTCATGTATTTATTGTTGTTCTTCTGTGCTACTGATGGTAGTATTGTTGTCTATATAGTCATCCCTATCGTGTGGCTTTTGGCGACATTTCGATGTGGTTGTCGTTGTAGCCGTTGTGCCGTGTGCAGACAAAGACTCATAGGCAGCGCCACAGCGACAGCATCGAGAATTATGACAATTTTGTAGAGCGATCAGTCGAAAATCGTTGTTAATCGAAGCTAAAACTAAAATTAAGAATATATTTTTCCTTTGCGAATCTTATTATTACGAACGAAAAGTAAATATGCAAAACCATCATACAATTGAGGGACAATCACAATCCCCCCCATCTGTATTCTCATATAATCCAAATATTCCAACAATTCAGTGCCTGTGCAAAAATATCGGTTAAAGCAATGAAGTTTTGTCCCCAAGTTTTCTCCAGTTTAATTTTAGAAATTGTGTGAAATTTTGACTCATATTCATGTGACCCACAAAAGATGGGAGGAATGCTGTGTGGCTCCACACTCCTACTCTTATTTATAGATTTGGATATTTTTTAGTGGAAAAAGCCTATACACGCAGCTGTCTGACTCAATGAAATTTGAATTGTCTATGGGGATTTTTCCATATTTCGGCACAGTGAACAGTAGAAAACATTTTAGTACATGTACTAAACGGTGGTACATATTCAAATAATTTGAAGATAATCAAGTCAAATAAGTTTAAATGGGAAAACATAAGTAAAACTTAATGTTGACCAGATATGCCACATCGGATATGTTCTAAAAATCTTTAATCATTGAAATTTATACCTAAATGAGTTGTTACCAAACGTTTTAGTTAAACGTTTCATATATTTAGATTTCAGTATTTAGCGTTTAAATTCATAGAAAATACAGCCAAAGGATATAAACAAATTCCCAGATGCTTAATTATGTTGATTATAGTATGTGTACCCCCACCGAGAAAATGCAGCTACCGCAAACTTTACGATCTTGCTCCCTTCTCACCCCCAGGGGGAAAAGCGTATTCACACAACATTTTTACCCTCAAAAACTAAGCGAACATAAAAAACACAAACTGAAACGGCCAGAGGCAAGAAGAAGCGATTGTAGAATGTGAATAAAAAAGAAAAAACGAACAAAATACAAGTTGAAAAACCGCAGAACTGCTGCTGTTGCTCCCCAATACAATCATAATATTTCTTTCCATCCCACTCTCTGGGCGAGATGATATTAGATGAAAAACTGAAAATGAAAATGAAGGAAAAGTGCTCCGTGCTGCTGCTGTTGCTGTTGCCGCATCTAAAGTTTCTCAACTCAAAAAAACTGTGAGCAGGAAGAATCATCTCGGACTCGGCCGTGCCGTGTGCACTCAGAATTATATAGATTAGTTTGCTTTGAGCAATCTTCCAGTTCAGTACTCGGCGCTTCCGTGTGTGGTTTTAGTGCGTTGTGTAGGTTCCCGTTCGGTCATATATCTATATCTAGACACAGCTTTTTAACCGATATTTGCACAGTTTGTCTGTAAACTGCATCATAACCCCCACCTGCATCTGCATCTCTAATCTAAACCATCCCCAAGCGATACCTAGATATCATAGATTGTGTGCTTCGGTGATTCAGATCTCAAAAGTGTTTTTAGTACACACACTCTCACACATCACATCATATCCCATATATCTGTCATAGCCTCGCGGTCACTTTTTTGTGTGTTTCTACCTGTCTGGGTTTTATTTTTATACAAAAATATTCTGTATTCTGTATAGATACACATTTATTGCTCATGTTTTTCTGTGATGTTTAAAGAATTTTCCCTGAATTTTTCGTCGAGAAAAAGTGAGAAAGAAAGCATAAAGAGGGAAAAATCTTCATTAATATTACGTATACGTCTGTGGTTGGGTTGGGTAATTTTTCAAGCACCAGGCGATGACGTTTCTGACGACTGACAGATAAGGTTTTTGATAGATGATCTACATAATGTAAATTGAGGGATAAATTAGTGAAAAGATCACTTTGATTTTTCAATGAACGCAGACAAGATGACCCAGATGAAGGCCGCCATGGGATTTCGACTGTTTTAGTTCATGTACTAAAGACATTGAATTAGATGAATTGAAGATGTTATTCATAGATCTAAACTAATGTTTATGATTTTAGAACGTATACTAAATTATTTGCAACATTTTAAAATCAGATGTGTACGAATAAATTTGATTTAAAGCTCGATCTAAACTTATATATCGGTTCTAAAAATGTACTAAAGCTTGTTTACGCGTTGTAGGGTTGATAAAAAACCATTTTATATATTTATCTACAGACTTTTCGGATTTAGATCAGTACCAAAAATTTGCTTAATTTTAAAAACCCTGTTTTCTGCTGCAGAAAAGGCAGGTGCTTACCTCATTCATTGCTTTCATCAACCACACAACGCTTTTCGTCCCCCAATTCCACGCTAAAGCCCCAAAATTCGATTCTATGTGTTCTCTTTTGCTCTCTCTGTGCACTTTCAGATAATAAGAATAGTAATTTGTACTCTCGAGTAGATCCTTTCGATAGCGAACACACACAGAAAACGAAACAGAAATGCCTTTCCAAACGATCGAGGCTCCGAAATGTCCGCGCTGCAGCAAGAGTGTGTACGCGGCCGAGGAACGTCTGGCCGGTGGCTATTCATTCCACAAGAATTGCTTCAAGTGCGGCATGTGCAACAAATCGCTGGACTCCACCAACTGCACAGAGCACGAGCGGGAGCTGTACTGCAAGACCTGCCATGGGCGTAAGTTCGGGCCCAAGGGCTACGGATTTGGCACCGGTGCCGGCACACTGTCGATGGACAATGGACAACAGTTCCTGCGTGAGAATGGCGATGGTCCGTCGGTGAGGAATGGCGCACGCTTGGAGCCTCGTGCCATTGCCCGTGCCCCCGAGGGCGAGGGATGCCCACGCTGTGGCGGCTTTGTGTATGCCGCCGAACAGATGCTGGCTCGCGGTCGAGGCTGGCACAAGGAGTGCTTCAAGTGCGGCAGCTGCAAGAAGGGACTCGACTCGATCCTGTGTTGCGAGGCGCCCGACAAGAACATTTACTGCAAGGGCTGCTATGCCAAGAAATTCGGCCCCAAGGGCTACGGCTATGGCCAGGGCGGCGGCGCCCTCCAGTCCGATTGCTATGCCCATGACGATGGTGCACCGCAGATCCGTGCCGCCATCGATGTGGACAAGATCCAGGCCCGTCCCGGCGAGGGTTGTCCCCGTTGCGGCGGCATGGTCTATGCCGCCGAGCAGAAGCTGTCGAAGGGTCGCGAGTGGCACAAGAAGTGCTTCAACTGCAAAGACTGCCACAAGACGCTCGATTCGATCAATGCCAGCGATGGACCCGATGGCGATGTCTACTGCCGCACCTGCTACGGCAAGAAGTGGGGACCCCATGGCTATGGCTTTGCCTGCGGCTCGGGTTTCCTGCAGACCGATGGCCTCACCGAGGATCAGATCAGCGCCAATCGTCCCTTCTACAACCCAGACACCACATCGATCAAGGCGCGCGAGGGCGAGGGTTGCCCCCGTTGCGGTGGCGCTGTCTTTGCTGCCGAGCAGCAGCTCTCCAAGGGCAAGGTGTGGCACAAGAAGTGCTACAACTGCACTGACTGCCACCGCCCGTTGGACTCGATGCTGGCCTGCGATGGACCCGATGGCGATATCTATTGCCGGGCCTGCTATGGCAAGCACTTTGGACCCAAGGGCTTTGGCTATGGCCATGCCCCCACTCTGGTGTCGACCAGCGGCGAGTCCACCATTCAGTTCCCCGATGGCGGTCCCCTGAACGGAGCACGCACCTCGGGCGGATGCCCACGCTGTGGCTTTGCCGTGTTTGCCGCCGAACAGATGATCA